GCGCACATATACACACAAGCATCTCGTGTGCCACCGGCCACCGAGAGACCCACCATAGAGGACTTTTAGCGGCCCCGTTCTGGGCACGATGGCGCAGGCCTCGATTCCCGGGGGCGGGCGGGGGACATTCTTGGGGAGCTAATGACCCTGTGACCTCGGTCTTTCCTGGGGCGGAAGGACCCCGTGGGGCTGATCTTCCAGCATCTGGTTGGTGGACAGGAAGGTGAGAGCAGAGTCCCCCGTGAACCGTAGGCACCGAGCTCCTCCGAGGAGTAGCTGTTCCGAGCATGCGCGGTAGGCCCACCGCCGGCCCTGCCGCTCGGTTCCGGGGACCGCCCCTCCTGCGGCGCCCCAGGCCCGGCTGGGCCTCCCCAGGCCAGAGCATCTCCGGGGTCTCCCTACTCCCAGCCTAACCTTTGCAGAGCCCCTGCCGTACACCCTTCCCGCACATCAGGCGGTGCCACGTTCCCTCTTGGTCCCTGCTGCCCCCGCCCCACTCAGAGCGGTTGGAAGAGTGACGTGCCCGCGGCTGCGAAGTTCAGGGCGGGCCGGAACCAGAGTCCGGGCCTCGGGGATCCCAGCGTGCCAGGCCTGCCTCTCCAGCATCCTCTCTCTGGTTGAGACGTGTTGCCTATGGAAGGCGAGGGGTGACTTCTAAATGTGGGAGAAGATGGCAAAGGCTTACCGCCCTCTTCACTGGGATCAGCCCGCTGCTCTGACCTGAATCATTGTCTTCTTTCCCTTCTTATCTGTATTTTCTACTTTTTGTAATAAAACAGACAGGGACATGCGCACAGACTTGGGAGAAATGCTTTCAGTCAAAAACTCCTGGTGCTTAAAATAGCTCACCAGCTATTCAGAGTGGACCTATCCCGATGGAACATTCTGGGGAGTTCTGGGTGTGCTGGGGGCGCGGCGACCCCAGTCACTGCAGGAGGAGTCCTCGCTCACAGGCCCCATGTTCATCTATGGGGTATGTGTGCTGCAGAGGCCGAGACAGCAGAGAGAGGCTTTTAGGGGATGGAACTCCGAGGAATTTAAAAGTCAACCTATTGTCATTAGTTTGGTGAAAAAAGTGCCCTCGCCGGTGTGGCTCAGTGGATAGAGCGTTGGCCTGTGGACTGAAGGGTCCCAGGTTTGATTCCGGTCCGGGCACGTGCCTGGGTTGCGGGCTGGTCCCCAGTAGGGGGCGTGCAGGAAGCAGCCGATCTATCAATAAAAATATTTTTTAAAAGTGAGGGGATTTATATTTTTAAATAAATATATTTTTATGTTTTTATTGATCTTTAGAGAGAAAGGGAGAGAGATAGAGAGAGAGGAACATCAATAATGAGAGAGAATCATCCATCAGCTGACACACTGGGGATGGAGCCGGCAGCCCAGGCACGTGCCCCGACCAGGAGTCAGACCGGTGACCTCTTGGCTCCTGGGTCAGCGTTCAGCCACTGAGCCACACCGGCCGGGGAGGGGAGTCCCTGTTATCAGTGACAGGAACGAGGTGGGTCGTCACATAGTAAATAACTTCCCAGGGTGCCCGGCCTCCCAAACCTCACACACCGTGCATTCCTCCAACACAAGGCAGGAGGCGGCAGCTTCCGCTTCAGCTGTAGCCGGTGAGTCCAAACGCCGCGGCCTCTCGCACCGATGCCCATGGTTATGGAGAGAATTACTTCCCCTCGTGACCCAGAGCAAACACGGAGGCCGCAGGCTGGACACGCCACCCTCGTGGTTTCCAGCAGACGGGCAGGGCACGCGGGGCTGTGGCTGATGAGCTGCTGTCCCTCAGGGGGCCCTGCGGCC